TCATCTTAATCTATACTTAATCTATTTGCCAACATAAACTACACATGTAAAAGGATCACGGTTTTAGAGTTTTTATGGAATAATGCACATATTAAATCAAGTTTATTGTGGATTTTGCACTTTTGAGACGCTCCCTAACTTGACGTGCGCAAGCGGAGGTCCTTGCGAGGACTTTTTCACTTCAAACACAGAACGCTCCCCTAAACGTTAGTTTTTGGTTCCCGTTTGGTTCTTTTTTGGGGAACCAAATACTAACGTTAGGGAAACGTTCTTTTTAGGTTTTTTTTGTAACCATAAAATAACGTTTCCAGAACGTTACATAACGTTACATGGTGGTTATTATTAAATAACCTAAAAATAACTTACAGAGAACGTTCCCTAATGGTTAGTTTTAGGTTATTTTTTTTAAAACCATAAAATAACGTTCCCAGAACGTTGCAGGGTGGTTATTTTTTTTAAATAATCTAAAAATAACTTATAGAGAACGTTCCCTAATGGCTAGTTTTAGGTTATTTTTTATAACCCTGTAAAACTATCTTTCCAACGAAAACGTTGCAGATGTTTTTGTGTAATGACCTATACAGAGCCCTGAAATTCGTTTTAGGGGCCGTTCACATGTAGCGCCTAAAAACGCGTGGAAAACGCTAGGCGCGTCGCTTTCTGATTTTCCCCAAAGCGTTCGGGCGCTTGAGCTCCGGAGGCGTCTGCCGTTGCTAAGCAACCATGACCTGCGCTCTCCGTGAAGACGCGGAACATCCTCATGGTCTTCCTCGTCCTCTGGCTCAATGATGTCCCCGGCCCATTGAGAAGAGCGAGATTGTGAAGCACAGCGCAGCACGCAACAACCGCAGTCACAAATGCAGGGCTCAACTATAAGGCCTTGAAGAAAACAGAGCATCGGCGTGTTTTCAGCATGCCAAAGGCTTGGTCTGCTATGCTTTGTGCACAGGAGCGCTGGCTGTTGAAACGAGCTGCACAGGGTTCTGTAAGGCTCTCTGTGTGGGGTGATGAGGCAGATGGGTGCACTCAGGCAAGGAGAGACTCGATGTCCCTTTCCACAGCCACAGAATTGGCACAGCTGTGTTGAGATGGCAGTAGGGTGTGGGGTACATATGTGATTGTTAGAACAATGAGTTTGAATAAAGCTTTGTTTCCTGTGTTGTTCTCTTGTACATGTATTTATTTTAAAAATTATTATTATAGTGTGATGTTTACTTTTATTCAGTCCTTTTACTCATTTATTCATGTTTCCTATTGTTGATAGTAAATAAAATTTGCATGCATGCATTAATTCATTGCTTGACTGAAAATTGAGATGTATTCAGCTTGGCTGCATCTGTCTTGTATATATTCATGTATAGCTGTCATATGATGAACCAAATTACATTTTGCTTGTTTTATCATTTTCAGTAAAAAAAAAAAGACATATAATTAAGTATTGGTCAGCATTTATTGTAAGTAGTAATACTTACATTTTTTCAATCAACAGTCTTCTCCAAAGATCTTCGAGCCGCTGCCTGACGTTTCCTTTGTGCAGACATTGCAAATGCTGAGGAAAACAATATAGGTAGGGATGTTGAGTTAGTGATGCAATGAGATGTTAGTGCACCTGTCGCTCATATATTTAAAAAAAAATATATATTGTAGAAAAAAATGAATATCTTGGATTTGTATACATATGAAATTATATATCACTGATTCTTGAGACATGGGACAAAACATGTCCAGCAATTGTAACTGCTAGGAATAAAAATGAAAATATTTTCAATTGTAAATGTTTTGATGGATTAATAATAGAATTATCCCCTTCAGTTTAATTTTATCATTATTATATCAAATCTATGACACTTATTGTCTTCATCCACTACATCAAATACAGTGTGTCTACAGAGAAGTGTTCAATCGTTCATGAGCAATAAAATGGATAAAAATAAAAATAAAAGTTTTTTTTATTTTTTTTATTATGAAAAAGCTTGTTTTATCAAAAGCAACACTTAATAATATGTCATATCAAAGCAAGGATGTTTTTCAAGGACACGTGTGTTTCATAAGGTTTCAAAGTTGTGTCCCCACTTTTTGTCAACACCATCAGACATTCATTAAAATGTAAAAAAAATAAAAATTAGGGAATATCAGGGGCAGCTGTCACTCTAAAGCAGTGGTTCCCAACACTGGTCCTGGAGGCACCCCAACACTACCCTGGTGTGTTTGATTAAGGAGACATGCAAAACGTGCAGTGTTGGGTTGCCTCCAGGACCAGGGTTGGGAACCACTGCTCTAAAGGACCCCTTGCCACATTTCTCCTCTGCAGAGTACCCCTGCATTCCATTCGGAAGGGCTCGTCCCTATGCCCTAATCCCTTCAAAGGGTTTACCCTCCGGAGTGAGAGCTTCGAAGTCCCGAAGTGTCCATCAGTTGTACCCTTCGAAATCCTTCATTCCAAAGGGCCCTTTGAAGTGGCCAGTTTTGAGCACTTCGGTTTGGAACGACCCTTCAATATGGCAGCCATGATTGTTTTCACTCCGAAGTGCCCTTCGGAGGGCGATATATCCCATTTGGAACGCACCGTACATCAGTGTCAGACAGGCTCTGGTAAGTTTTATGGGTTCAGAATATTTTAAATCCTAATGTTAATATTTCCTGTGTCACAACCATGATATGTCAACACCATCTTCCAATTTCTGAGGAAATCATTTGAAATATTTAGATCATTTAATTATCTTTTTTTCTCGGTTCTATTAGCATCTAGCATTAACAGAAAAAACTAAATAGCTACTACATGAACTCCATTTGTTTTGTGAAAAAAGAGCTAAATTTGTCAACACCGTAAGATTTTCTGTCTGACGGTGGTGACAGGCCAGTGATGTAGATTTTTGTGATATTCAAGTCACTTTTAATTATATGATATATAAATGTTAAATTTTTTTTAACAATGTATAATTACTACCAGTAAATATACAGCATATATTGCTTTTGTGGATTGATAGTCATCACTTAGCCAGTTAGCTAGTAGCTAGTTAGTGTTGAGGGAACACAAAACACTGGATAAAACATATCTATACATAATACAGTTCATTTGTGTTCTGATAATTTTTGGATAATTTGTTAGGAGTTCCAATGATAGCCTATCAAAAACCTAAATGTGAATTTTGAAAAAAAAAAGAGAGAAAAAAAACCTTTATAAACAATAATATACTGTTTGTTGTGTTTGTTTTAATCCAGTAATTGAGTGATTCAATGTATTTGATAGTATAAATGATATGTTTTGGTCACCACCGTCAGATAAATATTTTGATATTTGATTATGATATTTTAGATTTGTTGAGGAATTGATGGTCACATGTGAAAGTGTAATCTGTCTGCTAACATGAGAATGGGTTTTAAAATGTTAAAAACATTTTGATTGCTGTTAAAGACAAAGATAAAATTATATTACACAATCCAAGGTAAAAAAAAGCACATTTTGATAAAAAAGAGAAAAGTTGGGAGGTTGCATCAAAGCATAGCTCAGTAGCTTAGTACATGTAAGATACAAAAATGTAGATTCATTTGTCTGAGTACAAGGTTTTATTTTTTCAATATTTCGCCCTGTTCCCACTTCTCAAAAATCAGTGATACACAGAAAAAACGCATAATGACAAGGATAAATATCTTTGAATAATTCATCATAATGCATAAACAAATTGCATCTTTTTTCTTTTTTGTGTGTTATTTATAAGCCTGAGGGATGTAACAAGACAGTTCAATTCAACAAGAAAAAGAGGAAAACATAAAGGAGATTTAAACCACTTTTGCTTGTGGGTGAAAAAAAAAACTGCACATAAAGAAATTAACAACATAATTAAAAGATAACGAGTTGGGGTTTTCGTAATAAAAAATAATTCAAATTCTACACAACGCCACTGTTTGTTAAGGTTCCATCCCTGGTTTTTCAAGTGTCTTCACATCAACTCTATGTGCACATCATTAAACTAATCAGGCTTCACAAAAAGTAGCTGATAAATCCTTATTTCCTGTAGTCTGTGACTCCATAGTCTAGATTAATTCATCTCAAATTAAGAAATGTCTCAAAATGGCATTTATTTTTTTAGTCGGGATTAATTTAAGTAGAATTAGCCCAGTTTGACTTTAATTTAATCCTTGTCTGGCAGACAGTCCCCGTGTTTGTTGTCTGATGTTGTTCTTATTGCATGTTTCACATGTGGTATTGTCAGTTCAGTTTTTTTTCCCTTGATTTACTTGTTTTTGCCTATGTTTCCCCATGTGTGTATTTGCTTTTATTTTTATTAAATGTTTTGCACTTTCATCCTCCTCGCTCTGTCAACCAGCGTTACAGTAAACGTATGCATCAAAGCACTGCACGTGTGCAAGGTATTTTTGAGCATTTACATGCGTCGTTTTCTTGTCGATCAGATTATTACAGGTATACACCACCCCTTTCAATCTGACTGAAATGTCATTCTGATTGAGCTCAACTGGATCGACAGAGATGTTTACATGGAAAGTGGGAATACGTGATGAGCAAAAAACTTTATATTTAACTTTTGTTAAATATTGATTTACATACTTTAGTGCAGAGCTATCCAATTATGTTCCTAGAGGAACACAACCTGCAAAGTTTAATCAAACACACGTGCCTGTAATAATCAAGTAATCATAAGAACCTTGATTAAACGGTTCTGGGCTGCATTTCCCAGAAGCATCACAAACCTAAGTTGATCATAGCGCCATTGGTGGCGATGGTTCTACGATCAGTTTAGGCTTACAATGCTTTTGGGAAATGCAGCCCTGATGTGTTTAATTAAACAAGGTCAGAACGAAACTGAATAGACCTGCATTACTGCATCACCACCACTAACAGTGTTTTAATGTGGACCAGAGACACCACACTATACTACACTCTACCATGAGTTCTAATCAGGATATCTATTAGAGTAATCATTAATATTAGTTCATAAGCATTTCCCAATCCAATCTCAAAACACTCCAAACTTGGGTCACAAGAACAGTTTTATTTATCAACTTTGTCACTATGTCATGTCATTATCCTGGTGCCAAGGGCCCCTCACAGACTTACCACACAAAGGTGGCATTAATATATTTACCAAAAAAAGAGAAAAAAGCAGGAAATAATAAATCACATGTTCATTTTCATGCACAAAAACAATGTGTGCTGATTGTCATGACAATCGCAAATGTTGTTGCGGCACAAATGTGGCACTTCAGAACAAAAGCAGAATTAGAGCTGCCTCTGACAAAAGAAAAGGCGAAATAAAAGATACTGAAAGGGATAAATTGCTCAGAATAGCATCACTACCATCATTACTTGTGGGCAGGGTTCCCATGGCTCATATGTAACATTTTTCCACAACACAATCATATTTAAACCCCATTGCTGGGGGAATAATAACATTAAGATAAACACTATATATGTAAGCGAATGCATACAGAAAAATATCTAATTTGTATGTTAATAATTCAGATGGCTTTGAATTTTATTTGAGAACAACATTAAGTTGCAAGAAACACACAGATATTGCCACAAGTCAGAGTCCATTTTAACAGTAATGTCTGCCAATGCAACCAAAATGCTGAACTCTTCTGTGAGGAAATATTTAAAGATGGAGAAAAAATGAATGAAAAAAAAAGGTTCATTCATAAAGCAGAATACATTTCTGCTTTAGTTCATTCGTACCAGTACTTAGAAGGCTATTCTGGTGCAAATATTATGAAAGAGCAAAAAAGCAACAAGGAAATGTCATTGTAAAGCATCAAGGACTATTTGTAAAGATGCAGAGGTATGTATCAGTCTCCTAAAATGCAACAGGACCCCTCTTCTTCCAAAAAAACTCAATTCAACATAAAGCATTTAACATATTCTAAAAGACTACCCTACATTATTATATTTATAAGCGTTAATAATCCAGATATTCTCATATTCTAATAATAGTATAGTTCTGTTGTCACATCATTTATTGATTTACTGTATATACATGCAGAGCTCAACATTTTATAAATCATTTACATTGTGTATGCCACCCAGTAGATGACATTTACCACAGCAAAGGTGAAAGGGAAGACAGCACGAGCGTAGATATCAATGGTGTCGGCATCGATAGGTTTACACTTGCAGCATTTCTTCTCTTCACTGCTTTCCTTCTGTGCCCGACGGGACTGAGTGCCACGAACCTCTGTCTCTTCATGTGGATCTCCAGGAGGGTCAGTGGCCCGCTGGGCCCTGTTTTGCCTGTTTGAGACGAGGAGGCCCTGGTTCATGCCAGCCACAGAGAGCGAAAACAGAACCATGGCCTGCTTTCCATTCTTCACCATGGACTGGAAAAGAACATGAGGGGAAAATAAGAGTTGTTCATTAAAAGTCATAGGTGGGGATTATATTTGAACTCTGTTATGCTCTAAACTGAATAAGGTTTTAATCAATATTGTGCCACTCTATCTCTAAAATATTAAAAAGGTAAATTCAGGAAAAGTGGGCTTGTAATTTAGCTACCCAGATGTGTTTTTCATTTATTTATTGCCTTTGTTAACTTTAAGGTGCAGCTGTAATATTTTCATGTGAATTCAATTTTATTTGGAAGGTACATAACAATAAACATTTAGACATCATGCACACCGGACAAATGTATTTTCAGGTAAAGTGGGCCATCTCTGATTGATCAAAAATTATCCCATATCCTAATTAGAAATGAAAACACATTTATTTATTCATTTAGGTAGCACTTTATTTTAAGGACCAATTCTCACTATTAACTCTTAGTTAATAGTGAATATGTGCTCCTTATTCTAAAGCGTTACCGTGTTGACATTAAATTTGAAGAAATCTAACAGAATATTGATGGAAAATTAACTCTACAACATACTGAAAACATGACTGCAGTACAGTTCTAAAGTATTCTTTGCATTTTAATTCACGTTAACAGCAGTAGCAAATAATACAAGTACTGTGACTATAATATTTGTTTACATTTAATGAGCAACCTCACAAGTTTTGAATGTCAAAGGGCTTATACCTTTCATGATGAGGAGCTGTAGCCACAATCGCCAGGGTCACTGAGCATCAGCCAAAACTATTTTATCTTAATAGTGTCCCTTTCATTAAAGACTATTGTTATGCTCTTAAAGTGAAAACCCGTTGAGCACAGTGCAATCTTCAACGACCCACTTTACCTGAATTCACCCTGCTTGAGATTTGAGAATATACAGTATGAAATGCTCGAGACTTGGTCAGTTATAGCACACAGTTTCACCCTTCTGTGCAAAATTCATCTTCTGATAGTACCTCTGCACTCTTATTCGTCTTGACTTTGGCTTTCTCCTTCTTGCTGTAGTCTGCATTATAGTGAGCAAAAGCGTATTCGATCAAGGCAGCGAACACAAAGACGTAGCAGATCCAGAAATACACGTCCAGAGCTTTGATGGCAGAAGCACGGGGCAATGATGAACGAGCACTGACCATCAGTGTTGTCATGGTGAGCACCGTTGTGATTCCTAAAGGTTAAAGGACACACGGAAATATTCCTTTAACTTGTCAGGTTCATTTGTGTGTGTGATTTGTTTTAAAATTGTACTGATTACTGATTTCACTAGACATTCTACTAACTCTTTGTAACTACATGTCAACAAATTCTCATTCATTTGCAACTACATGTCAATTAACTCAGAGTCTCAGTATACTGTAGAATAGGTTGACATGTAATTACAAAGTTACTTATAGTCAGTAGAATATCTGTTGGGGAACCATTAAAATAAAGTGGATATTAATCAGACAGTCTACTAATACTCTAATAACTGGTAGTTGATATGTAGTTGTAAAGTTACTTATAAAGTAAAAACTTGGAATATAAAAAAAAAAGTGTTTACCTATTAATTTTTAAAATTTGACTTTTCGCAAATTAGTTTTTTTTTAAACATGCGAGATATGGGGAATATCTAGTATATTTTAAAATATAATATTATATATATATATATATATATATACACACACACACACACACACATATATGGTGAAGTGTACATTTTAGAAACTGTAAGCTACAGACCTAAAGACACTCTTGCTGGCACAGCTGATTGGCTGATCCAGAATGAAACCCATGACATGGCAACCAGTAGGATTGAGGGCATGTAGGACTGGATGATGTAAACTCCTCGGTTACGCCTTAGTTGAAACCGTAAGCTGAGACGTGGAAATCTCCCTGCTGTTTCAAGAATGACAATATGAAAATATGTAATATGGTTTCTGAGTTAACAAAATAGATTAAAACAATTCAAAATGAAAACAACAGTTGCTGCAGCATTAGCAATGACGTTTTTGGGAGAGTTTAGTTACATCAGATATATCAGACCGTGTCGATGAAAAGCCTCACCAGATTTAAAGTTCATCATCTCTGTGACAAAGCTATAATCTGTGATGGTGAACTGGGACAGCTCTAATTTGTCCAGCCCATGAATGTGTTTCTGACTTTCTGACCAGTGATACACAATATCTTCTGAAGAGTAGCCATCTGCAAAACCACCAACAGGAAAAAGAAAATATATAAAATATAGGATTTTTGTGAAATATAAAGTCACAGGCATCGTTATCATTTTTTTTTTTTTTTTTGTTTGGATTTTTTTTTTTTTCTTTGTCTGTGATGGTGAACTGGGACAGCTCTAATTTGTCCAGCCCATGAATGTGTTTCTGACTTTCTGACCAGTGATACACAATATCTTCTGAAGAGTAGCCATCTGCAAAACCACCAACAGGAAAAAGAAAATATATAAAATATAGGATTTTTGTGAAATATAAAGTCACAGGCATCGTTATCATTTTTTTTTTTTTTTGTGCAGGAATCATTTTTGTGCTCATGAAGATGAAACACTGTAAATGCAAAAGAGAGATGCCAGATATAAGTTTCCCCTTTACTCACAGCTTTCCAAGTCTAGCATGCATTCCTGTTCATCCATGGGGTATTTTGTGAGGTCCATATCACATGCAGCTGTAGATGTAATTCTGAAAGGGAAACCATCACGATTAAACATTTTGAACATGGAGCAGGTCACAGAGAAGAAATAAACCCTCTGTGATCATGTGTTAAGACTTGAAAGTAAATGATATGATCCTTTGAAAATAATGATATTGCTGGGATTTTTTTTCCCCACATATTTTTCCATACTGTTGGTGCCATTAGTTTGCATAGGCCTTTTGTGTACATAGAAAAAGTCTTAGATCTTTGAGTTCAGCTCATGAAAAATGGGGGCAAAAACAAAAGTGTTGCGTTTATAATTTTGTTCAGTGTATAAACATGAGTTTGATTTTTTTTTTAACTTAAATTTTCTTCCCTTTATTGTGACCTGTCAACATTCCAGCTTTACTGTGCTGCCCAAAGTCCTTTTACATTATTGCCAATGCAAAATTACAAACTAGTTTAAAATGCACTTAAAGCATACCCACGCACCGACTGCTGTAGAGAATGACTCCATCAGGCTGCAGGCGTATGAGTTTGTTCTCCACAGTGACATCGTGAAACCAGGCTGATTTGGCATTAACTATGAATGTGTCTGGTAACCAGAGTTTGTCCACAAAGCGGCTGTCCAGGCCAAGAGTTTTGTTTGTGTGGTTGTACGACAGACGGTCATCTCTCCAACTCTGCCGCAGAAATACTGTCATGGTGTATTCCTGTCAAAACAAATGCACACAAACAAAACATTTACAGTTGTTAAGTAACATTTCTGAGATTTATTGTTGTGTATTGTACAGATTTACAGACAATTTACTAGTTAAATCAAGCAATAAGCCATTAGAGGCTGTGCATTACAATGGTTTGACCATTGATATGGGGTGCTCTTCTTCCTCCTAAAACATGGTAAAATCAATAATTAATATAGATAATAATAATAATAATACTTATTACTTTTGACCAATAGGTGGTGCTGTGATAAAATTGATGTGCTGTGGTCAGTGTGATGTGACAAGGGCACACACAAAGTTTGGTGGCAGCTTCAGATTCAATTCGGTATAATGCCATCAAATTGGTGAATGCATCAAATACAGTATTCAACATTTGAAGTGGATCAAAACCTATCATCAAAGTTGTCCTAAAACCAAAACAATACCCGCTCTTGTCTTAGGACAACTCTGATGAACGTTTTTGATCCACTTCAAATGTTGACTACTGTAATAATCGTTTGGTCTAGCAACACATAATCCACAACATTTGTTGGTATGGTCTGAAAATAGACTGACTGATTAACCTGAATTCCATATCATTTTAATAGCATGATTTTAAGTTATCTGATTTAATTTTCATGCAAATCTAAAGGGAAAAGCAGAAGGCAAGTTCAAAAGTTATTGGCAGAAACATAAGTGCAAATTTGGTAGTACTAAAAGGTTTGAGTTAGAGACTAGATTAGTGATGCTTGGTTCTTGAACGAATCGTTCTTTTGAGCCGGTTCTCAGGAAGTAACCGGTCGAGCCGGTTCACAAAATCAAACTGAATCGAACTTTAGTTCCGGGTTGATGACGCAGGACACACAGCCGAAGTAGCACGTCCGACTCAACAAGAACCGAATGAGCCGGTTTAACCAACTGTCGAAGTTTGCCGACGATTACCGAGGACTCAACAAGAACTGAATGAGCCGGTTTAACCAACTGTCGAAGTTTGCCGACGATTACAGAGGACTCAACAAGAACTGAATGAGCTGTGGCGAAGTTTGCCGATGATTACCGAGGACTCAACAAGAACCGAATGTTTAACCAACTGTCGAAGTTTGCTGATGATTGCCGAGGATTCTGACGAGTGAGTTGAACGAGCCTGATACGTAAAGTTTCAGTTTCAGTTTCAGTCAAAGTTTCTTTATAACAAACAAAACATAGGCTGCTGGAGATATGCTTATAAATCATTTTATTAAAAAGCCCTGGATTTTTATTAAAACATGGAAAAACCTGAACTTTAGCACAGTTTATTTTGCATGCAGATCATATTTTAAGTTGTTTAAGCGAAATCCCAAGGAGTTTATAATACAGGTTTATTCTTTCTTTATACTTTAGACATGTAGAACATATCCGCGTTTGAGCATCAGTGTCTGTAATGTGTGCTGTAGGTGCGAAACTTTTAGGAATCTTATCTAAGTTGTAGGTTAGTCGTATCTGACATAAAGGATCTGCGAATGAAACTGTGACCACTGACACCATTTTACTTAAGTGAATGAAAGGCAATAATCAGCTATGTGCATTCACAAAAATAACTTTTTATTTGAATGTTTCAATATGTGTTGACACAAATGACTTTATTTGAATGTTTCATTGATACAACATGGCACTGAGTTGTTAGAAAAGAAATGCGTAGTGATATCATTGCTTGATGACGCCAGGAACCGATTAATCGGCTTTTTGAACCGGTTCAATGAGCCGAACTGTCCGAAAAGAACCGGTTCGCGGAAAAGAATCGAACTTTGCATCACTAGACTAGATCCGTGTACCAAGTTTCTTAACATTCCTGCAAGCAGTTCTCTTGAATACCATGGACTCAACAATAGGTGCTTGTGAGCCGTCTGTGCTTGGTTCTACTATAAACACATTAATGTTGAATATGTCACAGTTTCTGTTAGTTTGGACTTTGTTTGCACTGTTTTCTCTTGTGTCGGCATGGTTATTGATTTGATTTTGTCATTCTGTTCAGGTGTGTCTTGTTAATTATCCTCGTTTGGTCTGTGTATTTAAGTTCCTGTCTGTTCAGTCTGAGTTTGTCGAATCTCGTCAATGTTATGTGTGTCACTAACCTTCACTTGCTTGGAAATGACTTATCTGTGGATTTATTAAAGCCTGTTTATCTTCATCTTCAGCAGCGTGTTCCACGACACAGTATGTGACCGAATGTGTGCATTTATACAGCCTTTTACAATGGCTTTGAACACAACTCAACCTAACAGAATTAAGATAATTTATAAACTTTTTAAGACTTTGACAGCAAAGCCCTGTGTTCATTAAAGCATTATAACACACTCTTTAAAAAAGTAGAAGGGTTGCCAATGTGTTAACATTTGAGATGTAGGATTAGATTTATGTTTAAAATTCTTGGTAACACTTTAGATTAGGGAATACTATTAACTACAGGTGCATCTCAATAAATTAGAATGTCGTGGAAAAGGCTCCCTTACATTGCACTGCTTACTTACATCACATTGCTCACTTACATTACATTACACCTGTAGTTGTCCATGCGATGTCCGTCACTCTCTCGGGATGGAACAAAATGCAGGGGTAGCAGAAGCGTTAGCTACTTCGCAGCCCGCTAGCCATTTTTTTCTGCTCATACCACGTCCTCGAAAATCCCCGTTTATACGACTTCCCGC